GATTATTATTAGAAACATTTTATGTATTTTTAATAACAAGAAAATAATTATTTATCAATTATTTTCTAAAAATACTAACTTCTTTTTATTCATCAAATATTGCTTTATCGTTCAAACTTCTTTTTTTTTCAAATTGCATCATACATTCTAAAAACAATTAACCCACCAAATTTAACACTTTTTCTACTAACATGATTCAAATTTCAACTTTATTTTTAAAAAAAAAATTGTGGAGATATTTTCTATTAACTGCGAAATGTGTCTACGACTACGCTATTTTCAAACTCAGACAATGTTCAAGGATAATTCCAAACATTTCCACAATCCATAAAAAAACTAACCAAACACATTCGAACTACGAATTTAGACTATGATTCTTCGTAAGGAGATACGTAGGCACGCGGTTAAAACTAAGGCTAGTTCACAACTAAAAAATTAAATCTTTTTCTCAACATATAGAAATATTAACCACCAAATTCCTATCTTACCCTTAAACCTAAAAGTGGAGCCCATTAAGAACAAGGGAGATGAAAGGTGCCTAACACCTTCCCTTTGTCTAATTGACTTACGAACTTAGAATCTCTGTACAAATTAAGGTTATTTGTTATTCCCTCGTCTTTAGGACAAAAATTAATGGTGGTGACTCTTTATCTTTTTGCCGGTTACGACAGCTGGCAACTCTGCTAAGGATACAACCCTAGGGTTTAGAGTCTTCCCTATCTTTTAGGTCTAGGGTCTTGGGTTCTTTTTCCTATTTTTGGCATGTTTTATTTCTATATATGTTTATTTATATGTTTATTTATTTATTTATTTAAATTATTCATATTATCATTATCATATTATTTTGCTATTGGTGGGATTTAAATTTGTATATCAAACCTTAGAAAGAAGGATCATCTATTGGCCGAGGGGGTTTAACATCGATGTGAGCTTTTGTGACGACTTCTCCTAGAGTTGGTTGAGTTCTGAGGAATATATTTTAGAGAGCTAGACTCTCTAGGAGGTAGGACTTTGAGATTTGGCTAATGACTCTTTGTATAACCCTAAAACAAAATCTTGTAATACGGTGGGAGACCTGACTTGGGTGTTTTGAGTTTGATCACAATTGTTGCGGATAGCAAGAGTCGCTACCGATTTTTCTTTTATCCAATAAGGAAAGGGTGAAAAGAACAGGAAAGACCTTTGAGATGTTTTCTTGAGTTTGGGGGGTAGATTATGAAAAGGGAAGGTGTTAACACCCTTTTCATCCATAGTTATCTATGAGCTCCTAGTTGCTTGCTAGATCACTTGCTTTGTTTGAAAATATGCTTTGTGGTGTGGGTTTGAAAATATTTTAAAGACGTCTTTGTAATGATTCTCGTTTCTATAAGAATGCGTACAAAGTGTTGGTTGTAAAAATAGTTCAAAGAAGTGTTTATTGTGGAAGATGTTTTTGAAAGTGATTTTGAGAAACGCTTTTGTAATGATTCTCGTCTCTATAATAATGCGTGCAAAGAGTTTTGACTTTTCAAAATGTTTCAATTGAAGGTGTTGGTGTAAAAATGGTTTTTTAGTTGTGAGCAAGCAAGCAACTACGAGCGTCCTACCTACTCAAAAGGTCTAATGTTCTTTTCCTCCTCCTTTATATGTTGTTATATTTCCATTGATTTGGTAAGAAGCCCCGTCGTTGGATGTGAAGGGACGGGCACAGGTCATTTGTATAGTCATAGAAGGAAACCTATGGGATGTTTTAGTAATTTTCATTAGGGACTAGATTGTTTATCGAAGGCAACATCGAGGTACATAGAGGGACTACGATCTTTTATCGAGGGTCTTTTCTAAAATGCCCATATTCAAGGGACATGACTATTTTCCGAGGCAACAAGTGAGATTATCCTTGAGGTGCATGTGTGTGAATGGTGTGTTTGATCGTATGCATTTTGTCTTGAATTAAGGTTTTCTAAGCATTGGTTTTAATCTTGCCATACACACCATAATTACTAACATTTATATGAAAGCGGTAAATTGCGGAAAGTAAATTTACTACACTATTAAATCACTTGGGGATGAGGATACAAATGTGCAAATGGGGATTGCAAGAAATTAAATCCTAATTAATTATTACAACCACATTGAATGCGAATAAATGTACAAGAATTGGAATGAAAAGAAAATGAACTTTGTTTTGATTTTTGTTAAAGAAAGGTTTTGATTAATCAAAATAATTATTAAAATAAAATATTTTTTATAATATTTTTATATATTCATAAAATAAAACTTGTAAATAAATAGTGTGTAAAAAAACAACTCAAAAGGAGTTGCTTTGATTTGTTGGAAAGATGTTTGAAGTTTGTGAAAAAGAGAAAAGGAAACAAACAGAGGGTAAAAATTGTCCTAGTCCTGCCAAGGTTTGAACTCGGGACCCTACACAGAAATGCCTTTCGTGCGTGTTGTTTGTACCACTGGGGTGGTATGTTTCATCTGTTCATAAAGAAGCTTCAATTAGGTACAAGATGAACTTGTTTCTGAAGGTTTGGAATGCCCAGCTTCTTCCTTCTACTGTAGGAGTGCAAGACTCCCATGTTGAGATTCGAAGGGTTTTCATCCTCATCCAATCAAAGGATACAGAAAACCGATCTAAAGTTTCAAAATGAATCTAACAAATGTAACTTTCAAAAGCTACAGGCCAGAGGTTAGCACAAGTTTATTTGGCACCAAAATCAAAGGCTAACTAGTCAGAGTTGAGATTCTCAATGTATAGGTAGTGAGAATCGAAGCTAAAAGCAGGGTCAACTTCCTAGATATAATATCTACATTTTTCTTTTATTTGTATGTATAAATGATATTTAAATAGAAAGTTCCAAGTTTAGAGGAAACTTACCTCTTGAAGTGCCAATCGAAGGAGCTGTATGTGACTTCCAGGAAGGATTCGATGATGGACCAAGCCTGCAGGGACCTTCCTTGAACTGGTTCAGTTGCTGCTTTTTTTGAAGAGTCACTGAATCGAAGGTTGTTATATAGTAGTCTAGGGAGTGAATCGAAGGACTGTTATGCTGCTGTTAGGGAATGAATCAAAGGGTTCACTAATGCATGAAGGGATATGAGATTTCCTGTGAGAGTTTTAGAGTTTGAATGTTTGAGAATGTTTGAGAGTGTTTGAAAGTGTTTGATAGTTTGATAGTTTGATAGTTTGAGAGTTTGAGAGTTTGATGATTTTTCCCACGTCACCAAAATCTCTTTTAGCTTGCAAATGGTTTCTCTATTTATAGAGAAAAGGTTAGAGATGTTGGGGTAACCAGGTTTGTAGGATAACAAACCATGGTTTGGTTGAAAACGAAAACAAGTTTGATCCCTTTTCGTTGTTCCCAAGTTTCAAGTACAAGTAGGGGCCTGATGTTTGCAGGAGACTTGACTCATGCTTTTTGATGTTACTTGCACTCAGAGATAAATGTTACAAGGCTTAATGCATTGACAATTTGCATAAAGCCTATTTTCCTGAAATGGCAATGATAACTTTATGCCATATACGGAAAGACCTTTTAGACAATACTTTAAACAATTGGGTGTCGTACCCCAAATTTGTCCCACCGTGATGATTTTATTTTTCAAGATTAAAATAGAAGAAATATTTAATTAAGGATGGTACATCAGTATCTGATGGCCCATCTTTATCCAACTAGGGAGGTGAACCTTAAATTAAGGAGAGCGGGGCTTGCTAAAATCAGAAACACTCGTGTATCCATGGACCCATTCGCGTAGCATGTTGGCCAATGGCCCATGCGATTCAAAAATAGAAAGTTATTTTAGAAAAAATTGTTCTATTATTAATTATTAAATAGTTTATTGGTAAAAGAGAGGTAGAAATTAAATTTGTCCTTTGCCCATTTCTGTTTTGGGGTAAACACGAATAAGAGGTGTGATTATAAATTTATTGGCCCATTTCTTCTAATAGCAAAAACGTAAAGGTAAGGGGTGGGTATAATCCTGAATTACAGGCCTATTAAGTTTTTGTAGTTATCCCATGTGCCCCTTTTCTTGTTACTATTTTACTTTGGAAAAAGGATATTATTATCAAAACCTTTTTATAAAAAATATTTCTTTACAAATTATATTATAATTTTTACTGTTAAAATTGTTTAAAGGTTTTTCATAATTGATAACTTATTATTGAAAAAGGGATATTGTATTAAACATTTTATAATCAAATTATTAAGAGATTGATTATTTTTAAAACTATTAGATATGCTTTTATACAAAGAGCTTTTGTTTGTCGGAGAAAAAGATTTGTTCATAAGGCCATTTGTGCCCAGTTAAAAAAAAGGACTTTGATGTTTTAATTAAAACATATTTAAAAAAGATTGATTTTACTGTGAACAAAAAAATAATGTTGCTATAAACAAAAAATGGAGGCTACTAGGGTTGGGGAGTATAGACTAACGCAGGCCCAGTTTAATTAGATAACAACGCAGGCCCAATTGAAAAAAAAAATTGGAACTGTACAAATCTAAACCAAAAAACAACGCTTATGATTGATTCTTTACAATTACTGTAGAGATTTGAAAAAAAACATATCAAGTCTTAATTAAAGAACCCAGAAAATCAGCAATTAACAAATTCAACCTTTATCCAAAACCAAATCTCCAGAACATTCAAATCAGTGAAATCTGGAAATCACGGTATCAACCACAAAATTAAATCAACAAATCTGAGAATTGCAAATCTTGCAGATTCAATTTTCTATAATCAAAATCTATCTCTATTACAAAGCGAATCAGATTACAACGAAATTTAGTATCAAATCCAATAAACTAAATAAAACTTGGGAAAATCTTTTACAGTATAAAATCAGATTTACAGAATCAAATCTCTTGTTACAACAAAATACTGAATCAATTACAATCAACGTTAACAAATTACAAAACCCTAAAATCAAAACCTAATTTAAAAACCTATAAATACAAGGAGAAAAAGAGACAGAGGATGATTTTTTGGTTGACTGAAAAAGAAAAAGAAAAAGATACCGCGAAGAGTTGAGCAACGGAGAAGCGAGAGCAGCTCGAACCTGACGAGGAGGTCGGAGCCATCGCAAGCCAGCACCATTAAAGAAGGGAAGAATGGTTGGGGTTTCATTGTTGGAAACCACAACCATCGTTGACGGCCTCCTTCAACCACCCATCGCTGCCTTCAATCAGAATCAGACACTTGGTGAATCAAAAGGGGTAACTCACTCTCTTTAGTTTTGTTGTTTGATTGATGTAAGGCTAGGGGTTTGTGGGGGGTAGATCTCGTTTTTCCGGCGCCGCCGTGTTGGGGTTATAACTTTAGGGTTTATAGGGAAGGGAAGAAGAACTGCTCGAGAGAGAGAGAGAGAGAGAGAGAGAGAGAGAGAGAGAGAGAGAGAGAGAGAGAGATGAAGGGTTTTAAACAAAATGAAGAAGTAATGTAAAAGAAAACAATAACTTATATGCTGAATAAATTGTATACACCGCGCCTAGCATATGTAACATGGTCCATCATTTTTATCTGCTAGATCATGATCAGACGGTCGATAGGCCAAGTCCCATGGTAAACTTGTGCACCCTCATAACACACGATCCACCAGGCCCCCTCCAAACACGTCGGCTAAGCCCGTTAATGTTCACACCCCTAATCCCTAGTTTACTTAAACAACAAAACATTCACACCCCCTGCCTGGACTCATGTCTGGGCCTGATTCAAATTATTTACAACACCCCCTGTTTTACTTGTCAATTAGAAATTGCACCCCCCTAAGTTAGTTTATTCTTTTATAATTATTTCTATTTCCCTATCTCGACGGCGTGTCTATTTTAAAGCTAGTCACCAAGTAAAATAATAAGCAAAATACAAGCATGTACCCAAGTGAATAAGACATTTAAAACAAGAAATCATTTCATGCACATCCGTTCGCACACATGCATTTGTAAAACACCTGCATGTCATAGCAAAACTCATTTTCTTTAAAAAATATCTCCAGTTAAGCCATTGGTAGAGAAGACCTCCACCTCCTTGGCCTCCATATCAAACAAGGACCCATCAACAAAAAGCAATGGAACAAATCGAGGAGACTCAAGCTGTGTTCAAAGAGGATCTTGACCAAGTAAAGGGTGACGTAAGTTCAATGAAAGGAGATTTGAGTCAAGTTCTTCTAGCTTTGAAGAACATTATTGACAGGCAGGACCAAATTCCCAAGGTAGCTTTTGAAGAGTTAGCCCAAACCATTGGTGCATCGAGCGGTCACCAACCAAGGAAAGAGCCGGAAGCAGGACCCCAAAAGTCCGCCATGGCCCAACAAGAGGTTGAAACTGAAGGGTTCGTCCCACCACCATCAAAAGCAGGGGCATCACATACCCTACAAATTCCAACCAATAATGCAGACAACTACCTAGACTTGCAATACAGAGATCACGACCCAGAGGATGCTCACAAGGCACCCTTAAAGACGACTAGTACTCATGATGTAGATAATCCACTGATAATGAATCAGTATAAAGCCCTAGAGGAAAGGTTAAAAGCTGTGGAGGATTTTGATGCTTTCGAAGTAGACACTCTCGAAATGGGTCTAGTTCCTGATGTGGTGATTCCGCCAAAATTCAAAGTACCCGACTTTGGAAAATACAAAGGGCTTACTTGTCCAAGGAATCATCTTCTTATGTATTGCAGGAAGATGCATGCCCATGCCCATGATTAGAAGCTAATGATCCATTGTTTTCAAGACAACCTGAGTGGAGCATCTTTAGACTGGTACATGCAATTGGAGCAAACACATGTTCGAACCTGGGCAGATCTTACTAATGCTTTCTTGAAGCATTACAAATATAACCTAGACATGGCACCTACCCGCATGTAACTCCATAATTTGTCCCAAAAGAAGGAAGGGTGCTTCAAAGAATATGCCCAAAGATGGAGGGAGATGGCATCCCGTGTGCAACCATCACTGCTGGAAAAGGAACTCGTAGACATGTTCATGGGAACCTTGCAAGGGCTTTATTACGAGAAAATGGTTGGAAGTGTCTCATCGGGATTCTCAGACCTAATGACTATTGGCGAAAGAATCGAAACTGGGTTAAAAAGTGGGAAGATATTAGGGGGGTCGTCAAATGCTCCCTATAATTCAAAAAGACCGGCTTCAAACTTCCCAAGGAGAAAAGAGGGAGAAGTCAATGTTGTGGCCTCACAACCAAGGACATCACAACCATTGGTGATCCCACAAGGACAAAGGCAAGACAAATTTAAAAGGCCACCCGGGAATTTTGATTCACTCCCCATGCCACCAAGCCAGTTATTACAACACTTGGTTAAGGCATCCTTGGTGGAAATCAAGCCTTTAGCTCCTCCAGTCGGGCCACTCCCACAAAGATACAATGTCGACGCCAAGTGTGAGTACCATGCTAACTCTCCAGGGCACGCCATAGAACGATGTTAAGCATTCAAGCATAAGGTTCTGGATTTGTTAGAATCTTAAGACATCACCTTTGAGAAGCCTAACATCAAATCAAACCCTATTCCTTCGCACGATGCGCCAACAATAAATGCAATTGAGGCGGTCACTAACTTTGGGGCAACCATAAAGGTAAAAACCCCTATCAATTTGTTGAAAGAATATTTGTTCGAATATGGATTCTTGTTAGAGCATAATGAAGCTTTTGAAACAACTCTGCAAAAGTTAATAGATCAGGGGATAGTCCAATTCGGACTGTACCCTGAAGAAAAATATGTAGCTACAATTGAAGGAAATAAGCCATTGGTAATCCTCTGCCAACGCCCAAATTTCACCAAGAAAACTCTAGTGATCCCATGGGGAGAATCAGCAGAGATTACAAGAAGGGCGCCTAAGCAGGCTCTCTTAATACCCGCCACTCCAAAAGCCACAATGGTAATTAAGGGACCGTCACCTATCCCTTATGAAAATAACAAATCAGTACCATGGAGTTATGACTCAGCCGTGTACATCAACAGAGTGAAGCAAGAAAGTAGGCCATCACCAAGTCAGGGACCTGCAATTTCAAATATAGCAGGGACAGGGGGTATGACCCGAAGCGGTCGAATTTTTGGAGCTGAACTATCAAAAAAGACGGATGTGATTCCGACGAAGGACAAGGGAAAAGCAGTGGTTGATACAAATCAAGAAACAGAACCTCTAAGCAAAGACTTTACCAATCAAGAGGCAAAAGAGTTTATGAAAATAATCAAAAAAGTGACTATAGAGTGGTGGATCAGCTTCACCAAACTCCAGCAAAAATCTCCATACTCTCACTACTCATTAACTCTGAAGCACACCGGGATTCTTTGATGAAGGTGTTAAGTTTAACTCATGTCGCAAAGGAAATTTCAGTGAATCAATTTAGCAATGTCATAACAAATCTAACGTCTGGATCCTACCTGGGTTTCAGCAACAGTGAATTACCGCCATAGGGACGAGCTCATAACAAGGCACTCCATATTACCATGCAAATAGGTACTACCCATTTGTCCAGGGTTCTTACTGACACCAGTTCCTCTCTTAATGTGTTGCTAAAGTCAAGTCTCATAAAGTTAATAATAGACGACGTGGTAATGAGACCAAGTTCTACTATAGTAAATGCATTTGACAGTTCTCGAAGCTCGGTGTTAGGAGAGGTGGACCTTCCAGTTAAGATTGGGCCGCATATCTTCAATATCACTTTCCAGGTCATGGATATCGAACCAGCATACACTTGCTTACTGGGGAGACCTTGGATCCATGCCACAGGGGCAGTCACCCCGGCCCTGCATCAAAAATTGAAGTTCCTAGTGGAAGGGAAGTTAATCATAATTGACGGCGAGGAAGACATCTTCGTAAGCCACATTGAATCGTACAGATATATCAGTGCAGACGAAGATTGTATTGCTACCCCATTCCAAGCCTTGGAAATTGCTTCAATGGTGACATTACCAGTTGAGAAGGATAACAAGACTAAAGTGACATCATGGAGAGATTTGCAAACGACTATGGGATGTGATGCCTCGAAACGCTGAGGAAAGCTCCCAAAAATTCCTAAGAAGAAGAATCGCTTTGGTTTGGGTTATGAATCGTCGAAAGCTACTCTAAAAGGAAAAGCATGTTTCCCTCCGATCCAAGAAACTTTTGCCAGCAAAGGAACAAAGCATGACAGACATGTGGCGATGATATCAAGCAAAATCAATACCAAAAGGGCAACTAACTTCATCAGAGAGGGCACCCCAGGAGAAGAACTCAAAGGATGGGCTGCTGTGGAGATTCCTGAGATATTTTTCTTTCCTAAGTAATGTTTCTTGTTTTTGAAAGAACCTATGTCAAACCGAGGCATAGGGGTTGCTTGTAAGGGTTTTCCCTGTTCTTGTTTCAGACAATATTTATAATTAATAAAAATTATATTCTGTTTTCAATTAAGATCCTTGTCTTTCTTTTGCATTTATCTATTAAATTTTAAAAATGGCAATACTTTCTCTGCATACGCATTTTCAAAATCCCAGGCACTAAAATATGCACCAAAACATGATAAATGTGCAGATCCATGCCCAAAATTACCGATAACGTTACTTCTACGACCCGATATGATTTTGATGTTCCTATCAACCAAGCCGAAGAGGAAAATGACAAAGATCTTGAACTCTCTAAGGAAATGGCAAGGGAAATAGAGCGAAAGGCTGACAACATATAACCATATCAAGAGGCTATTGAGACCATTAACCTGGGCACAAAGGAAGATCTGAAAGAAATCAAGCTAGGAGCAATGTTGGAGCAAAGCGTCAAAGACAGGATAATTAAGTTATTACACGAGTATATGGATATATTCGCTTGGTCCTACAGGGACATGCCAGGGTTGGATACAGACATCGTGGTGCATAGACTACCTCTCAAAGAAGGGTGATCTCCAGTCAGACAAAAACTTAGAAGAACTCGCTTAGATATGTCCAGCAAAATCAAATAAGAAGTTCTCAAATAGTTTGACGCAAGGTTCCTAGCAATGGTAGATTATCCACCCTGGATAGCTAACATTGTACTAGTACCCACGAAGGATGGCAAAGTACGCATGTGTGTGGATTATAAAGACCTAAACAGAGCAATCCCTAAGGATGATTTCCCGTTACCCCACATAGATGTCCTAGTG